GCGCCCGCGCCCCGCGCCGCGCGCCTAGAGGACGGGCCCGGAGCGTGGGGCCGCGGCGCCGCCGAGAGTTGAGCGAGTGAGCGCGAGGCAGCGAGACAAAGATAACCCGGGAGGCGGGGGCGGAGGCGGGGAGGGAGGCGGGGAGGGAGGCGGGGAGGGAGGGGGCGGCGGCGGCGAGGGAGGAGGAGAAACGGGACACCGAAAATATATTCTGAGGAGAGAGAAAACAGCTCCCCCTCTCCTTCTCCGGCAGGAAAAACGAGCGGAAACGCACTCCCAGCCCGAGCCCCGCTGGGGAGGGCGCGGGGCGAGCCGCCCGCTCGGCGTGAATATTCAGCAGGGGTGGGGCCCGAACAATGGCCGGCCGGCGGGCAGCGCGGACAGCGGCCGGGATGCGGCTACCGGCCGGCGCGGCGCTCGTAGAAAGGGCCAGAGTAGGGACGAGACGGACCGGGATGTCCTCGGTGAGGTGCCGAGGGTGAGGAGACGCCCCACCTCGCGCTCACAGAACGGAACAGGATCGACCTGGCCCCAAACGCACAGAGGCTGACGGAGCCTTGTCTCCGGCAGGGGGTGCGTCCCGTCCCGCCCCGCCCGCCGGCCGCGCCCGGGCTCTAAAGGGACGGGAAGGGGGTGTAGCCCGGCCAACGAGGGGCCGCCCTTTTTCCTTACCCCCGCGTATCCTATCCCCTTCCCCCACCACCAGATTCTATACCCCTAAGACCCTCATTTCCGGTTTCCCTACAAGGTTTTCTTTTCCTTTCTTGCAGGCTACGCTTGTGACACGCTTGTAGGGGCGGAATTCGTTGAGCATCACCTGGCCGCCCGGTCCCAAGGCTTTCAGTGGAAATAGTATCCAAAGCAGCTTCTCTTAATTGCCGTGCGCTGACTTCCTTACCTCCTTCATTAGGTGAGCACTGTGCTTGGGGCCCTAAGTGCTAACCCCAGTTTGTGCCTAAGATCGTTAAGGATCAATAAACAGGCTTCTAACAGTAACTTTGGAAGCTTTTCCGTAGTTAGGCAATTTGAGCCTCTTATACAAGGATATATTGTCTGCGCACTAGGACCATTTTCATCACACCATTCCATTGTTCAAAAACTTTCAATGGCTCCCTATTACCTCACAGCAGGTTCGAAACCGAAGTGCGTCGGAATCACCAGGAGGGATTGTAAAAGCACTGATTGCTGACCCCACCTTCAGCGGGTCTGGGATCGGCCTGAGAATATGTACTTATAACAAGTTGTCAGATGATGCTAGCATTGCTGTTACAGGGATCACATTTTGAGAACAAAAGCCTTACAGGATGAAAATCCAAGGCCCTTCACAATCAGGCTTCACAAACATCACTGTCATCATTGTGTACCGTTATGTATGCTTTATGTACAGGACCCAATTTAACCTGTCTTATAGCCCTTATGCATTGTTATCCACATTCTCATCCTCATCCAAGGATGAGGAAACCAAAGTACTGAAAGATAAGGAATGTGGCTGGGGCCCCTGGGTGGCGCAGTCGGTTAAGCGTCCGACTTCAGCCAGGTCACGATCTCGCGGTCCGGGAGTTCGAGCCCCGCGTCAGGCTCTGGACTGATGGCTCAGAGCCTGGAGCCTGTTTCCGATTCTGTGTCTTCCTCTCTCTCTGCCCCTCCCCTGTTCATGCTCTGTCTCTCTCTGTCCCAAAAATAAATAAACGTTGAAAAAAAAAAAAAAAGATAAGGAATGTGGCTAAATTCCTTAAAAGCACAGCCTGGAAGTAGAATAGGGGTTCTCACTGGGTCAGCCTACTCAGAAAGGCTAAGACTCTGATTCAGCCAAGTTAACCTTTTACCCAGAATATGTTTAGCACTCTCCTGCCTCTCAACGACTTGAAGATTTTCAACTATGAGAATCCCTTCTGAGGGACTCCTGGAATCCATTGATTAGGAAAGTCATAGTAACCAAAGTGTTCCTGTGAAGTGAAGTAGAGTGTTTCAATGATTTTGTTTTTTAATCTATTCACTGCAATGGCATTATCTGTGAGTGTAAATTATTTACTCAAAGAGCTAGATTGCTGTGTATGACATGCTTCAGACCATATTACTACCACTAATATTTAGTAGTATTATTAGTATCAGGTAACACATATTGGGTTCAGACAGTGTGCTAAGCATTTACCGTACATAATCTCATTATTCTTCACATTAACCCCAAATGGTACTTTTATTTTTCCCACATTACACATTAGAAAACCAACATGTAAAGAAGTTAAGTGACTTCCTTGGGGAGCACAGCTGAACCCACTGCAGAAACTCAGCCCCCCCACCCCAAGCCAGCCTCCCTCCACAGGTTCACTCATGATTTTGAGGCCCACCTCTGATCACCCACTTCTTCTCTGCCTAGCCAGATTCTCCATCATCACCTCAAGCACAGCTCAGGAACCAACTCTTCCTTCTCCTACAAGCTTTCCCTGAATCTGTCTCTCCTAAACTGTTATTTCCCATGTCACCATTGTGATGGTTACATTCCATTTTCAATTCAGTACCTTTTCTTGAAGTACCTTACCCAGTTCAAGGCGCTGGCTTAGCTATTGCCTGAGATATAAGGAAGAGCTTACAATTTGATAATGGGTATAAGAGTCTCATGAATAGCTATAGTTAAAGGCAGAACATTATGAATTCTGGCTGTATACGAAGAACATTAAACAGGTCTAGTGGAAAGTATGCTAGATTTGAGGCAAAACTAAACTAGGTTTGAACTTAGTTTGTTATCAATTGTGCAGCCTTAAACATGTTACTTAAATTCTGAGCCTTTGTTTCCTCTTCTGTCAATAAGATGAAGACTAGAGATTAGAAGAACCATTAAGAGGCCGTCTCAAAAGCACAGGACAGAGTAATAAGGCCTGGAAAAAGGAGATACAAGGTCTTGGGCCAGTAGACTCTCGTAAGACTTGGCATCTGATAGGATGCCAGAGTTAGTGTAGACAAGAAGATAAAAGATTTACTTGTGACTTAGAGCTTTGTTCGCACTTGGGACGGTGTTGTCAGGAACACAGGAAAGGATACAGTTGTTGACTGGTGGTGACAAAGGAAGGTTTTGTTTTGGACTCTGTGGGAAGTTAGTTAACTTTTCACACAGAAATATCGACACCTACCCAGCTTGTAACTCTGCTTGAGATCTGAGGGTGAGGGCCATTTTCTCAATCTTAACAGTCCTATGTTAGCTCTGGCTGCCATAACAAAATACCATAGACTGGGTGGCTTAAATAACAGAGATTTATTGTATCGAAGTTCTGGAGGCTAGAAATCCAAGAGCAATGTTCCAGCTGATTTGGGTTCTGGTGAGAGCTCTCTCCCTGGCTTGCAATGGCCACCTTCTCAGTATTGTCCTCATGTGGGTTTTCACAGGGGAAAAAAAAAAAAAAAAAAAGCTATCTGGTATCTCATAAGGACACCCACCCCTATTCTATCAGGGCCCCACCTTTATGACCTTATGAATTTAACCTTAATTATTTCCTTAGAGGCCCCATATACAAATATAGCCTCACTGGGGCTTAGAGTTTCAACACAAGGGGGACACAAGCATTCAGTCCATAATAAGCCATATGCTGTATGGTACCAAGAAGTAGACTTAAGTCATGGCCCTTGTTCCTAAGAATCTATTTGAGACCACAAAATAAACCGACCCAAAAAGACAATCAAAATAATAATCTGGAAAATAAATGCTAACTTGGCATTTTAGGCTGGAAGAAAATATAGCTTGCTTAGACAAGGAATGTGAAGTTGGAAAAATTAGGAACCTGGCCACACTGGGCCAGAAGACTCGATTCAGAAGACCCTGAGAGGTAAAGCTAGACAGGTTAGGTGGGACCAGAAAAGCTAAAGCATGGGTGATGTGGAGGTTAAAAACAGAAGCCAGATTATCAGTCAAGTCAAGGGAGAAACAGCCTAGCCTTGGCTTTCAAGAGCTCCCCAAGCTGGTTAGATGCTCATGTATTCAGCAGGCCATGAGATACAAATGTGTATCTTCCCAGGGTACAATGGGCCACACGACAGTTACCCAGTCACACAAGTCCCAAGGGGAACTCAATTATGCAAGAGCTCATCAGTGACAACTCCCTGTATATCACTTTACTTATTTCATAGTTTTTTCTTTGTTGCAAAAATATTGGTAGAAATTTTCAACCTCCGTATGAGGGCAAGAAGGGCAGAAGATCTGTGAAACTGGATTATAACTTAAGGGCTCAGGGCCAGTGAGGGCTTAGGTCAACTGGAAATAAATGATGGAAGTGGTAGTGAGCAGGGGGAATTGAGTCAAACAAAGGAAGCAGTGGTGGAATGTGTTCAGGAAAATCCCAGAAAGGGAAAAGCATAGGTTAGGAGTCAGAGATCGAAGTTCCTCTTCTCTGATAGACAAAGTGTTAAGCAAATGCTTACCCTCTCTGTCTCTCAGTTTTCTAACATGTGAGATTAAGGGCTTGGATTGAAATGATTGAAAGATCCTCTCAGGACCTTAAAAACTCACATTTATATCATCACCCTGGCCTCAGTCCTACAACTGCTCATACCTTTTAACCAGAGTGGAAGAGGGTTGATTATGAGCAATGGAAGTTAATGGAACATGTGGAATGTTGTAGATTTGGCAGCAAAGCTCAGCCCTTTAAAAGCCAACTTTGAGCATTGGTAGAGTCAGAATCTTTTTTGACTGGTGTATCAGTTGAATTAAAAGGAAGCAACTACTCTAGTGCACAACAGGATGGAAGGCGTAGGATGCAGAAGCAGATCAAAGGGCAACAAAAGAAGAAGCAGATCACAGGCAAAACAGACATCCTACCCTAGCTACCAGGGCTGTTGATGTTGTCACTTCTGTCATGAGGAAGTTCTCTTAGTTCAGACCTCCAAAAAGGACATCCTGAGACAGAGATTTGGTGCAGGGAGTTTATTTGAGAGGTGATCACAGTAAGTCCAAGTGAAGGAGAAGGAAAAGTGAAACATGGAGATGAGCCAGTGAGGAGTATGTTAAAGAGCAGGTTTTACTCTGGGCAGCTGGGCTAGATGGACCTAGCTAGCTAGAAAAAGAAAATGTAGATTCCTCTTACTTTATGAGTTCAGGAAAAGTTTTCTGTAAACGTATATTTAGAAAACAGAACATGGGGCGCCTGGGTGGCGCAGTCGGTTAAGCGTCCGACTTCAGCCAGGTCACGATCTCACGGTCCGTGAGTTCGAGCCCCGCATCGGGCTCTGGGCTGATGGCTCAGAGCCTGGAGCCTGTTTCCGATTCTGTGTCTCCCTCTCTCTCTGCCCCTCCCCCGTTCATGCTCTGTCTCTGTCCCAAAAATAAATAAAAAACGTTGAAAATAAAATAAAATAAAAAACAGAACAGTGTTTTAAACACAGAGGAACTTGCTAGTTCTAGAAAACCTATTTGAAATGTTATATGAAGGGGGTTACTGTCCCTTAACTTAGCCTTTTTGTAAATTTGTATTTTGCAAATAAGCATATAAGGATTGCTTCAATCAACTTCCACTGTGAAAAGTTCTTTATGTAAAAAATCCTCAAGGGGTCTCAAGAATGAAGTCAGAGATAGCCCTAGCCTTAGAAATCAAGATGTGAGCCATAGGAAGTGGTTAGGAGAAGCTGGTTGGGGACATTAAATAGTTGTCAAGTATGTCTGTTTTTGATAGAGGGTTTGGTGAATGGAATCAGAGGCTCTGCCAAGGGTAGACCAAGGTAGTCCTGCTAGCTGAAGAGATAACAGTTTTTATTTATATTTGATCATATATTTGTGTCCTCTACAGTGAAATCTCAGGAAATGACTAGACCAATGGGCCTCTCTCATGTTCAGTTATTTAATATGTCACCACTGAAATAGATCAGATCCTGGCCAGTATGCATCAGAACCTCCATTGAAGAGGAGTTCAATCATAATCAAGTTTATCCCTTTAAAAATTAATGAATCACAAGGCTCCATTAGTGCAAGTTGGCCAGTCCTATTGATTTGCAGTTCTCAGTTGATTATAGTGATTCTACTCTCAAAATATTCCATACTCTATAAAGTGTGCTCTATAAAAAAGATTAAGTGGTGACCTACCGACGACAAACTATGAACTGCAAATGCCATATTTATGAATTACAAAATTTGAGGCCTTTCTTATTCTTTTGAACAAATATAATTGTCATTTTCATCTTCTCATCTATGTCTGTGTTCTATATTTAGTGGCCAACTAATCATCAGGACCAGATCGAGAAGCCAGCGATGACTGACATGGATCATCTGGATCACCTAATTGTTGGCTAAAGACAGCTCCTTGAGGTTAGTTGGGAGTGGGGCCCCTGGTGTTGGGGAGAGGAAGAGCTGGATGAGAAAGTTTGTTTGGATCAGCATAAAGTCTTTATCACTCCTGGAAATGCAAATCAGAGTCACAAAAAAGAAAAACCACTTATCCTCACAGAATTGCATCTTTTATTGCATTAGAACTTATCATTATTAGCTGGCTTCAGATTTATAATAGTGTTTGTGGAGAAGTGCTACACAAAAATGATCTTTAGAATCACAACTTTGCTCTTCAATTATGTAGAGAGGACAAAATGAAGAGAAAATGGGGCACCAATAGATGGCAAGAAGAATTAAAGAGGGAATACTTTGGAAAAGGCTACAACATAAGCCAAGTTAGAAATGTCACTGCCCATTTTGAAATTTCCAGGAACTGGGAACAAGACAGTCATTCAGAAGAGAGAACCAGTGGTCTAGGAAAAAATTGAAAAGCTGTTTTTCATAACTTAATTCTTTACACACTTCCGACCTTAAGAAAATCCCTTTCTGGAGTGCCTGTGTGTCGCATTCAGTTAAGTGTCCAAGGACTTCGGCTCAGGTCATGATCTCGTGATTCATGAGTTCAAGCCCCGCATCGGGCTCAGTGCTGACAGCTCAGAGCCTGGAGCCTGCTTCAGATTCTGTGTCTCCCTCTCTCTCTGCACCCCCCCCCCCCTTTTCTCTCTCTCTCTCTCTCTCTCTAAAAAAAAATAGACATTAAAAAAAATTTTTTTAAAAGAAAGAAAATCCCTTTCTGCATAGCCATTTTAAACACAAAGTGGATAAAGAACTAGACTATGTGTTCTCTTTTACAAAAAGTGTTCCTCTGAACCTTAGGGTTCCTTGGAGGCAGTTCAGGGGCTGCCTCTATCCCAAAGGAGGTCAAGGGAGTTAGTAATAGGGCTGCTGAGATTATTGCTGCTTCCCTGCCATCACACAGGTTCTGCTTTTCTATGCTTTATAAATTGGGAATATGAGTAACAGTTTATGAAGACAAGATTTCCATGGCTAAGAAAAGTTTACAAATCTCAAGCGAAGGTATACTTAGAACCAAGATTTCTACGATAATATGACACAGATATCTGTTAGATAGGTTTATGCTGAGTTCAAAACTAAGCAGCACATTAGGCATTTTTAAATCATGGCTATGACCTGAGTAGAAATGATGCAGGAGTGGGAATCAGGAAACCTAGGGTCTGTATTCGATACTACCAGAAGCTGCATTGTCATGGTGGTTAGAGCACCCAGACTGGTGCATGAGACCAAATATTCACGAACTGGTTCATTATTATCAAATGTTTCACTCTCCTACTACATCTTCTACACAGATCTGAGGATTCCTGTCTATAAGTGTGACTGTGATCTATTAGGGTCTATTTGACAGCCTGTTTTTTACTAAATAACCTACCTCCTGTTTTTCACATAGCACATTATGGAGAGGTTGATGAGATGATCATTTTTAATTTCTCAGAGTCGATGCAAAAGAATGATTGAAAAAGTTAAAACAGGAGAATTATAAAATAGAGTTACAAACAATAATCTGGGCAACACTGCTTATATTGACAAATTTAAAGAATGTTTATGAAAAGTCTGTAATAATAGAGAAATGTATGTTGTAATGCTAATTGAAAATATCACTATAAGTTTGTATGAGATTATAGTCATAGCTGCACAAAAGCTAAAAACTATTCCAAGGAAAAATTGGGAGGAAATACATCAAATTTTAGTACTTTTTGGCTGACAAAACTGTGACATTTTTTTTTCCTTTCAAGAAATGATTCTACAAATTCCCTTTAGCAGCATATCTATTTTATGAATTAAAAAATACAAACTTAGGGGCACCTGGGTGGCTCAGTCAGTTGAGTATCCAACTCTTAGTTTTTGTTCAGGTGACAATCTCACGGCTGCATGGTTCGAGCCCCATGGCCAGGCTCTGTGCTGACAGCGTGGATCCTGCTAGAGACTTTTCCCTCTCTCTCTGCCCCTCCCCCACTTGCACTCTCTTGGTCTCTCTCAAGATACATAAATAAACTTAAAAAAAAATACAAACTTAAATTTTGAAAGAAAATGAAATAAAGTAATTGTATTAGTTTCTAGGGCTTCCCTAGCAAAATATCACAAACTGGATGGCTTAAAACAACAGAAATGTTTTGTCTCACAATCTGAAGGCCGGAAGTCTGAAATCAAGGTATTGGTAGGCAACATTACCTCTGAAACCTGTAGGAGAGTCAGTCCTTCCCTGCACTCCTGGTAGTTTGCTGGCAGTTTTTGGTGTTCGTTGGCTCACAGCTGCATAGGTCCAATCATGTGGCGTTCTCCTTGTCTGTGTCTTCACATGGCCAACTTCTCAAAAGGACTCCAGTCATATTGAATTAAGGGTCCACCCTATTCCAGGATGACAATATCTTAACTAATTATATCTTCAACCACCCTGCTTCCAAATAAGGACACAATCTGAGGTACTGGAGTTTAGGAATTCGACATATCTTTTTTGGGGAGAACATAATTCAACCTATAACAGTAATTTAATGATTTCGATATTTCTTAGAGAAGTTGAAGACTATTATTCTTTCTTACCCTCATGTAGTGGTTTCCAGTTTAGCACATGGATGGTTTAGAAAAGCAGTGGTTTTGATAGTTTTTGCTCTGACTTCCTCACCGTCCCTCTTGCCATCCCTCTCCTTATCTAACATGTATTTATTAGGCATATACTGAGTTTGTAGCACTGTATTAAATCCATCAAAATTTAAAAATCACACAAAACTTTCTTCTAACCATTAGCTACAAGTTACTTTCATTTTTCAAATAGACTGACTTTATTATAATGAATGACTTCAGTTTGTAAATCACCATAAAGAATTACCTTTAAGTTAGATAAAAAAAAAATTTCTTAGACCATTTTACAATTATATAACAGATGACTGGGGGAAAAGGCAGAAGAAAACTAAAGAAGAAATGGTCCAAATAGATATTAATTTGCTTGTTGTAAAGCCAGAAGCAATACTTTTCAGCACTGAGTAATCTCCAGTTTGGCTGGGATATTTGTAAATTAGCTAACTGTTTTAAAATAGTGTCTTACTGGCTTTGAACTATTCTTTGTGACTTTTTCCCACTGCGTTGCTAGAAATAGCTTCTTGTTTTAAATTGAAATTTAAGCATGTTTATTTAATTTTTTGAAAGAACTCTCTCTTTTGCTAAGTTTGACAGAATTTCTTGATGTAATAATATAAATAAGGGAATATAGTGTGGCATGGATAAAATGAGGATGACTTTCTTTATATTTTCTAAGTATGATCATATTGCTTTTGGAAGCAAAACTATTTATTTCCCTTGTTACATCCATGCATGTATTTTAACGAGTATTTATGAGATTCAGTGACATATTCAAATCAGCATGTGTATTCCATTGTGTAGTTATTCCCTTTTATTTCCAATTTCTTGTTAGGAATGCTTTGTGTCTAAAAAGCTAAGGAAATTAAATGCAAGACTCTGTCAATACAATGAAACTTTACTATGTACAAGTCAGGAAATTAGAATATGTTGTTCCTCCAGCAGCTGGTATTGGGCTACTCTGAACATTGTAAGTCAGGAAAGTTAAAGTGGGGCAGTTTTTGCTCTCAAGGATTTTATCTGGATGCAAAAGAATATCGCTTCTCCCCACTGAGTGCAGAGCTCTGAGGCCCCTGAATCCTCAACATTTTCTGCTCCCAACTCCCCTTCTCTACTCTGCAAGAAGGCAGCTACAAATCAGACTGATACACTACCTGTGATGATGTCACAGGGGTAGTGTGCAGCAGAATGTAGTAGCTCTCCCAGCACTGCTACTGGTAGTAGTAATAGCCCTACTTTATTGGGTGTTCACCGTGTGCCAGGACTTTATCTACATTATTTCATCCTCAATGACCCTGAGTAGCAGACACTTTTGCTATCCCCATGTCGTAGAAGGAAAACCAAGATGTAGAAACATTAAGTGATTTGGCCCTGATTGCACATTTAGAACGTAGCAAATCCAGGATTAAAAACTAGATTCACATGGACAACTTATGCTTTTGGCCAGTAAGTTTTAGGTAACTTACACATTTTTACCAAGTTTTTGAAGACTTAATTCTCTAATGCAAAAGAAACTTAAAAAAATTACCTTCTCTGATTATAAATATAATATGTATTCATTGAAGAAAATACGGGGAAATATAAAATAAAATACTAAAATACAAAATTAACCAATAATCCTTACCAATAATCATTAACACTTAATATATTTACTTTGTTTTTCTAAGCAAACACATGTGTGGGTGTGCATGTGTGTGGGAGTGTGTGTTTAATATAATCAGAATTGTACAGTTAGGTGACCTCCTTTTCACTTCATATATTAGGAACATTTCAACATCATTAAATATTCTGTTACAATCTAATTTTTAATGGCTGCATTGACTGTAATATAATTTATTTAACCAATCATGTGGTGTTGGGTACTTTGGTTATTTCTAATCAGTCACTATTTTAAATAGCACACATGCTAGGATTTCCTCAAGATAAATCCCTGGGAGTGGAACTGCAAAATCAAAGACTATGAACATTTTTAAAGTTCTTGGTAGATTTTGTCACTCTCTAAAAAGGCTCTGCCAAATTATGAGATGGGGAGGTTTCAAAGTGGGTATTTCAAGTTCCAATACAGGCTCTAGTACAGGAGGTATTGTGGGGAAATGTAGATCATCCATCACTTCTCAAGACATACCTTATGGGTAGCCACCTGATATCTCCCAGTGGGGTCCAAGGAGGACCCTCACTCTACAGAGAAGGGCTGGAACAGAGGATGTACACTGCCTGTTCAAGGCTATGAGTTCAGTGGTCCCTAGAAAGCATGAAACGACTGCTTCTCAATAAATAAAGCAGTTGTAAAGATTGCAGGACATTTACTAGTTAACAAAGGGTTTTCCTGCTCAGTATTTCCTCTGATCTTTGTAACATCCTTGGAATGATACAGCTTTATGACTATTGGC